GTGTTCTCCGTGTTCCTTTATATTTACTGTGAGTACATCATTGTACCTATCCAAGTGTTTCAAGTTGTGTGTGTTTGTGTATTATTAATTAATACAGCTTGTATTATTAATTAATACAAGCCTCTAGAAGATTGCCTCCGTTGCTCTTGGAGTAGAAACAAGATAACAACGAGAAGAAGGTAATAGGAGGAGAGAAGCGACCAGTACAGATAAGAGTTGAGGTCCTTTCTGCTTTTCAGGATTTGAGTCGGCAAATCGAATCTTGGCTAGGTGTTCCCTCATATTTTTGCATATTTATTGAAAAAATTTTAAATTTTATAATATTATAGATATTTAAATAAATAAATATATTCATGAAACAAGTAATATTCGTGGAAATTTTTCATAAAATTTCTCGTACATTAATTATTACAATATGTTTTGATTATACTTGTAAAATATATATTTTAATCATTTTTAATATCAGAAGATATATTTTAATAAATCTGCAATCTGAATTATAAAATAAAAAATAATTTTATAAGTATGAATAAATAAATGATATGTTTCAGATTAATTAATAATAATTTGAAAGTAATTTCTCTTCCTAATTAAAGAAATAAAAGAAGAGATAGAGAAATTACTATACGAACTATACGAATTCTTTCATATAAATATACATATAATAAATGTTTAAAAAAATTATTATTATAATTATTCTATTTTAATAAAAAGATCCTTTCATCGATTAAGGACAAAGAAATTTTCTTCACCTTGTTCACAATATTTTTTTTTTTATTTCAAAGTATGAAAAGATAATGAAAGGAAGTTTATCAAGTTTCGGTATTTTAATTGAAAAAATTTATCTCGCAGTCAAAGGAGAAATTTATTTAACGACAAAAGAAAAAAAGGGGGGAAGCAGAGAAATCTGTGTTCGACAAAATTCTCTTGAAAAAGCCGAGCAAAATCCTCTCTGTTGCAGAGAAAGGGAGGAAAAGAGGAGATGAAACGAACTTTAATCACAAGTGAAAATCGGGAACAGCGATCGGAGACGTAACTGAAACTGAAACAACCGACAGGACGCGTTAAACGAACTGTCAAAAATACAGAGTCGACGAAACTGTGTTGTCACGCTCTGTACTGTGGTAAAACTGGAACGTGTTGCAGATCAATGTCGATCACGGCTCGAAAGTTTAGCGATTTCACTCTGAATTATCTCTTGTCTTCCGCCAAAATCGGATTAGAATTTTTAAAAACGCAATTAAAACATTGAGATTACATAGATCGAATTCTAAACTATTTCGTCTAATTTTAATTTTTCGAAAATGGATAAATAATAATTCTTAATAACATCAAAGAATAAAATATTAATAGCAATGAAGAATTGAAACATTTGAATATAAAGTTTTTCTTCAATAAGAAATAATTATAATTACTTCTTTAAATTAATTATTCTGCTTGAATATCTTTCAATAATAATGTATTAAACAGTAAATTGTTCCATAACAATAACATTGCTATTTACCAATAACAATGATAGCAATCTGTTTCAATATCTGCTCCAACGTTTCATCACTTCGATTCGCTTAAATTATTTCTTTATTTGCATCATCTTCTTTTTTTCAATTCTTCTTCTTAATGAAATATTTATCCCCAATCGAAAATAGCAGGATTATCGATAAGACTGCAAGAAGGAAATATTCGATCGACAGGTTTTATTCTGGCAAATGACGCATTTTAACAACGAACCATTAATTCTGCGCATTCGCGCGTTACACCACAGTTCCCTCTAGCATATAGGCGAAATGTTTATTTTTGTCGTCAGAATTCACGCTGTTTCAGCCACCTCTAGAGTACGCCTATTTTAAGCGTGTTACCGCTTCTAGGAAAGTTGTTGGGGATGTGTTCGACGATAAAACGCGAGAGGCTCGTTTGCCGGGTTAAATCTTATTAAGGTGATTCAATTAGAAACAAAGACTTTATCGCGAATCTATGGAGAAAGTAAAAGTAACTTCTATCTTACATTGAGTATTCTTCTTGTGTTTTGTGAGAAGATTTGTGAGAACGGTGGCAGAGTGGTCGTTCCAAAGTTTTGTCTTTTTCAGACAGCTGACAGAAGATGAGTTTATGATCGTTTAATAAACTTTGGTGTTTACTATTTCAAGTTTTGCGTTGATAATTCTTTTATCTCGCTCTATAAACGTCAATTTTAACTTCAATAATGTGTTATATTAAGTTAAGTTGACTGAAGATACATTCCTTTGGGAAATTTTCGTGTTGAAGTATAATAATTACGTTCAGAATGTTCTTGCAGAAAATTTTGAAATTTTCACTCGATTATAAATGCTTATGATGTAAATTTATAAGTAATATTTATAATGATAAACTTTTTATATGAAACTTATACGTCTCTCTCTTCTAATTAATATAGTTTAAATATTAAAAGTTCAAATCTTGAAACTTTTAGCGATAAAGGATTTTCTTTTAACTTTTACTCTTTTTGTTAATTTCAATTTTTAATTTCAAAACTTTCTTTAATAATAATTCCAAGTACAAATAGATTTTGAAAATTTGTCAAAATATAAATCCTTCGATTTTATTACTATAAATTTATCACAGAAGGAAAAAATTCGTTTCAATATAAATATATTTAATAAGATAATAAGATAATATTGCGAGCTAAAATTATACAATACAATTATATAATAGAATAAACCTCGTTTCTTATCCTAATTCGACTAAAGAGCTTCGGGTAATCATGCATAATCAGAGAATAATTATTAACGGCAAACAATGTGTAACGTGTATCGAGCGTATTATCCAAAAACGTTTCATTGTCGCAGGTGTTATTAAAGCCCCATCGGCTAGCCTGTGATAAAGCAGCTCGAGTCAACAACGGGGATTGACAATCATTATTCCCGACTCTTTGCAATTTAATTAAACGGTATCAAAATTGTTCGAGTTGAACAATTGAATCGAATTACGAATCTTAAACATTAGCCTTGCGCCCTGAGTTTCCTAACCAAGTTTGAATTTCTATCCAGAAATGTATTTAATATTCAGAACTTGGGATGGAAATATGATTTTGCATTATATCGAGGGAGGGATTGTTAAAGAAACGAAAATTTGTGTTTTCTTGAGATTGAGACACGTATTCAGTTGTGAATTTGATATTACTGTAAAACAACTATTCAGTTTGATGAAATGAATGATTTGAGAGATATAAAAATCTTTTGTGTCAAAAATTTAAAATATATTACTTTGAAGTGAAATTATATTCTATTCAATTTCTATTCATTTTTAAAAAATTATTTTATCGCGATTCTGTTTTTGATACTCTTCATATCAAAGTGCAATGGATAATTATGTTAAATAATCGTTACTGAGGGCTGCAAAGCAATAGTATATTCAGATTCTATTTATATTAAATTTCGTAATATAATTTTCATAATGTGAATTAATGTAATATTGCATATAACTAAAAGTAGTAACTTTGTAATTATAATAAGTGCAATTATATTACGTTTGAATATATTTATTTATTTTATAATTATTCTTAACGAATAATTATGAATTAATTAGAAATTCAAGATGACTATAATTTGTTATAAAGTATTTACAATTTTGTGCATTATGTTAATCCTGCTACTGTTATATTTTAGATACTATATTTAGATATTAAATCATGAAATTCAGATATTTATTTCTGAAATAATTAGTAGTTATGTTACATTTTAATCATCGAAGTGTTTGTAATAATTATATCGACTTTACAATTATATTTACGTGTTCCATAAATAATTAATCTCTCGAGAGATATATTGGTGCATTTAAATAAGATAAAAATCAAATATTTGAAATAATATAAAATTTTCCTGGAAAATTTAATTTTTCCGAATAAAAGATTTCATCATTTGCGTCATTTTTTCTTTTATTATTTTTTTTTCCTCTCTTCAACTATTTTATACTCCAACATTAATTAATTCATCCCCAATGAGATTAAATTCGCGTCGAAATTTCAATATTAAAAAATCAAACGCGTACAACACGTTTCACGGTAAATTTCCATCAAGCAAAATATTCTTTCCTCCGATTTAAATTAAAACAAATTTCATCTCCTACAGTGCACCGTATCAAAACGGTTGACAAGCTTGATACCGTAAATTTCGCTCGTGCCAATAAAAGATGACTTCTCGACAACCCGCCAACAATTTACATAATCGCCCGCTTTGAATATTTATTCCGCAATGAAACAATGAAACACGTTTGACATTTCCACGATGAGCGAACGAGTAATTAAAGAGTTCTACGTGAGTTTTTTTTTTTTGGAAAAGTTTCATCCAAAGCGACGATCGTTTGTCCAGGTCGAGAAACAAATTTGGAATTTCATAAAGACGAACCCGCTTCGAACTCGATTCCGCGAGTCGGAGTCGTTAATCGTGAAACTGTCAAGAACTGGAAAACCTGCTGGTTCGAACTGGAGTCGCTTTTCCAATATTTAAAAGTTTCGACGAAAAATAAACTGGCCACACTCGTTAAGGCTTCAGAATTTCAGAGACATGGTTTTTAACCGTGGTTTAAAATTATTTACCTTCCGGAGAATTCTCGTCGAGAGAGTTTGGGGATTCTAAAGAAAGCATTATTTCACAATTTCTAGTATTTCGAAAAATTTGATGAAAAGCTTCTTTTCGGATGAAAGCGTTTCAATTTTCGTGGATTTTTTGATTTGAAAATGAGTTTGAAATTGTGAATTATGTGAAAATTTGAGGTTGATATTGAGATGAATAGAGAATTTTTTTCGGTTTCTGAAGCGTACAATTGTACAATTTTCACTTGATGACAGAGAGATACATCTATATAAAATTCGAGTATATGCCAAGTATAATTTATATGCAATTTTTATATTTTGTATATTATATAGCCATTTATTAAATCTATTTTTTTATAAAAAATATACGATATATTTTTTTCGAGTTCCAAAAATGTTTGTAATTTCTTTCAATAATAATAACAAAAAAAAATTTCAAAAATAAAAGTTAAAATTATAAGCACGTCATTCTAAAACCATTCACTAAAGAAATCAAATGAATAAAGATAAAAATAAAACGAGATTCAACAAAATCAAAAGATCACAGTGCAAAAAAATATCAATCCATTCGTTCCATGTTTATTTTCTCAAGTTTCATTCCAGCAAGAAGTTAATACGCGAGTGTATGCGTACCTTTATATAAAAAGAGAAGAGAAAGTTTGATCCGCGATAATTCCTATTCAAATCA